AGGGGTGAGGGTTTGGGGGCTCACACCAACCTCCATGCTGGAGTTAAAGGCTCGGTTCACTTTGGCTTTGATGTTGACAACCTGCCCAACACTGAAAGACAGGAAGAGGAGAAAGCACATGGGGGTTATCAGGGGGCAATGGCCGGTGATTACCCAGCACATGCGCCGGCGCCGAGCAGCTCCCCACCAGGTGCCACAGCATCACCACCAGGTGCCACAGCATCACCACCTGCTCTGCTAGTGGCTGCCCGGAACAGTGGGCACATGCCAGGAAGGCCAGCAGGACCTGGGAATGACCACCACGACGTGGGAGCCCATGGGTGTCCCCTGAGCATCTGTGTGCAAGTGGGTCTCCATGTCTGGGGTGGTGCTGGGACACCTGAGGGGTGCAGGGGTGCCCAAGGCTTGCCTGGCACCCCCTGCTATGTGGGCATGCATACTCCTGCCAGAGCAAACGGCTCCTCCACACTCATATGTGCTGTCCTGCACAACAGGGACACCCCTGGGGTCTCCCCACGTCCCTCAGCCAGCAGCAGCCCCAAAGCTGCAGGCCCCTCAACTGCTCCTGTCCCTCCTCCTCTCCAGAGCCTCCCAGTGATGGACACTTGAGATACTGGGACATGGCAGGAGGCAGGATCCATCCAGAGGCATTTGGGACCATCTTTCACAGGAAACATCTGCTGGCAGCAAAATGCTGCTTGCAGAAGTCTGCGTCTTCAGTAGGCTTCAGAGTAAACACACAGACAACTTCAGCTCTGCAGTCTGACCTACTCCAGACTAGTACTGGCCAAATGAGCAAAAGCAGCTTGTAGGCAACACAGACAGCAAACAGTCTTCACCAAATGCATGATCAAACCAGGAATGTTCCTCATGCCCTAGAAGAGACCAGTGCTAGAAAACTCTGTGGAAAAATAAACCCTATAGCCCCCTGCAGCTCTGCACCGTGGAGGGCTCGGAACCAAAGCGAGGAAGACTCAGCACGTGCTTCAGCACCACAACATCCCCCTGGCCCCCGCGCAGGACTTCTGGCTTCAAACAAGTGCAAACATCTCAGCTACCCGCACGTTGGCTCTGGCTGGAGCGGGGGCGGTGCCTCCGAACACCCTCCGGCACGGCCCCGGGCTCGGTGGCTACCTGCTGCC